TGTAACTAACATATTTGAGTAGGCATTTAGAAATCCACGCTGACCAGAAAATAAGGCATATCAGAGGAAGGTACTGGTAATATGTACTCATCAAATTTCCATTCTCAAAAAATCTCTCAATGATTTTGTCCTGGGACTCTATATAATAAACCTAAAATTTGGTTACATTTTGGAATAGACCCAACACTAATGACAAACATTCTGCTTTTTTCCTAAAGATATTGTGCTCTCATGCAGCAGTACAATAAGCTATTTTTACAAGTAAGAATGAGTACATAAGAGTAACGTAGGATACCACATAATCTGTTCATTTGATTTCCGAAGAATCAGCATATTTTCACCTCAGTATAAGATTTGGGTAGGGGAGAAGAGGTCTCAAACCTGAATAATTAGTGTAGAAGTAACAGTACAAAGGAAGGGATATTTCTGAGAGTGATTCTCAAGGAATAATGAAAAATATGGATGAAATTTCATATAGGGAATGGAGAAAGTTTAAATACCACCATACAGGCCTTCATCGGAAAACAGAGTCTCTCTTCCCAACTCTGAAAAGCTTAACTGTTAAAAATAATTAACTAATGCCTTTGCTATTATCACCACTACAATGGTTACAAATCGCATATTTGGATCTTGTTGAACCCTAAGAATATGCACACTGATCTCACTGTCTTAGTCTTCTATAAATCTTTTAGTGCAATATTCTAGGCATTTATGGAAAGTTGCTATCATGTGCAGCCTCCTTTGCACATAGTATAAACATATGAATTTGCCCATAATAATAAGCCCTGAATGTGAAGTTTCTTTTAGAATTTAATACTAAGAAAACTTTGGGGTTTTTTTTTGTTTGTTTTGTTTTTTTACTAGTACTTCTCCAATAATTCCAAAATTGTAAATAGTACATGAAATGCTTTTCTATTCAGATCTGATTTGCCATATCATAAAAGAGGGTATTTGAAGCTAAATTATAGAAAATATTCTAGCTAGCCATATAAAGTTTGTACTTTCACTGTTTTTATGGGATCTTGTCATTTTAATTTTGCTGAATACAACTATGATACAGCTGCTTAGTGGTTAAGAGTGGTGTTTTTGAAGGTAGAATTCCTGGATTAGCATTTGAGCTCTCCCCCTTGATATTAAATTTCTCTTCACCTCAGTTCTATGATCTCCTCAATGATAAAAATAGTATGTAAGAGTTTAAGACTAGTAGATAAAATTGTTTGGGGGATTAAAATATGCAGTTTATATAAAAGTGTTTAGAAAAATGCTTGACCCAAATTGTTTTCAGTAAATTTAATACATTATTTTGTCACTACTGTTGTTATAAGTTACCTGAAAATCTTTTTAGAGAAAGAAAATACAAATAAATTTAATAAGTTAAAAAAAATGACCATCTGTGATGCACTCCAAATTGTGGTAAGTGCTATATTGAATCTTGCTGAGCAATACATTTATTCTTTTTTTTTAAAGTTGTAAATTCTGTTAATTTATTTAAAATACAATTAGATTTTCAAAAATTTGATTCACATAAAACTTTTCAGAAACAGAAGCTGAAAGTCATGAATGATTACTAACTAAGCATGAGAGAGTTAAATTTGAATATATTATAGGTTGACATATTTCAATGATGTAATGAGAAAAATAAATTTCTGGTGTTTTTTTTTTTTTTTCTATCATCAACAAATCAACAAACAACAAGTGTTGGAGAGGATGTGGAGAAAAAGGAACCCTTCTGCACTGCTGGTGGGAATGCAGACTGGTGCAGCCACTGTGAACAGTATGGAGTTTCCTCAAAAAACTAAAAATGGAACTCCCATTTGACCCAGTGATCCCACTTCTAGGAATATATCCCAAGAAGCCAGAAACACCAATCAGAAAGGATATATGCACCCCTATGTTCATAGCAGCACAATTCACCATAGCTAAGATTTGGAAACAGGCTAAGTGCCCGTCAGCAGACGAGTGGATTAGAAAACTGTGATACATCTACACAATGGAATACTATGCTGCTGTAAAAAAGAAGGAACTCTTTGCCTTTTGCAACAGTATGGATGGAACTGAAAAGCATTATGCTAAGCAAAATAAGCCAGTCAGAGAAAGATAAATTCCACATGATCTCACTCATTTGTGGAATATAGAGAACAACATAGACTGATGAACAGGGACAGATCCAGAGACAGAGAAACAGCGATCAGACTGTCAATCCCCAGAGGGAAAGTAGGGGAGGGTGAGGGTAAGGGGAAGAGATCAACCAAAGGACTTGTATGCATACATATAAGCCAAACCAATGGACACAGACAACAGGGGGATGAGAGCATTCATTCTTAATGTAGCTGAAAATGCAGTTGGAAATGTAAAATAATATGCACAAAATAATCAAGATATAACTAGGTGCAACAATATATGGGAATAATTATTAAAAAAGAATATGAAGAAGTACCAAAGTTGATTACTGTAGCAATACAATGGTATATTTTGGGGAGATATTAAGGGAAACTTAGATGTTGGTAGTATTTAGAACTAGACTCAAGGAGAGAGGTTTTGGGATAATTTGAACAGGGTGCTAAGTTCAGATTGAGCAAGATAAATGGATGCAAAGTGAGTCATTCCATCTGATTTCATAAAGTTACAATTTGGAGAGTAATAGAAAGTTCATTTTGCTAAATAGGATATTGGAATGAACAAAATTCCATTTGTTCTCTTACAAAAGGAGGGACATGATTCAAATAGTGTTTTACAAAGACAAATATGGAAGCTTAAAAAAATATGAATGCTGAGGAGAACAAGATAATCATATAGGACTTTTTAAAAAATACATTTTTATTGATTTATTTACAGAGAGGAATGGAGAGGGTTAGAGAGTTAGAAACATCTATGAGAGAGAAACACCGACCAGTTGCTTCCTGCATGCCCCCTACTGGGGATCACGTCTGCAACCAAGGTACATGCCCTTGACCGGAATCGAATCTGGGACACTTCAGTCCTTGGGCTATGCTCTATCCACTGAGCCAAATCAGTTAGGGCCATATAGGACTTTTTAAAATCCCATTTATGTTGAGGTGAGGAGGTTCCAAATTTGGATTACCACTGTAGCAGTGAAATAAAGAAAGAAGGAATAAATCTGAAAATTATTTAAACTACCAGATTAAAAATATTTGCTTAGGTAATAAAAATGCAATGTCATTACTTCTAGAAATTTGATAACCAGGATAGGAGCTCATTAAAAGTTTCTACCATTAGCCAAGACAGATTTTGTGTGTATGTGTGTTAGACGAGGGAAGCAGAGAACAGGGGGGCTAGACCTATGTGCTTGATAGTTGGGAGAGTAAGCACATAAGAGTAACATAGGATCATCTTTTGTACAAGTTTATTTGTCTCATCACTAGGATTTCAATCATGATGATTTATTGGTTTTACGTCAGGATTGAAAGAGGGATTGGCATGAGTTTATTTAATAAGCTAATAGGACATCCAAGTGGGCAACTGGGTTTTAAGTTCTGTGTGCAAAAATTTATATTTTAAGTTATGGTGGTAAGTGAACACATGGAGGGAAGAGTTTAGAGGTATTTATGAGAGTATCCTATATAATAAAAGCCTAATATGCAAATTGCCTGAACAGTGGAACGACTGGTTGCTATGTCACACACTGACCACCAGGGGGGCAGATGCTCAATGCAGGAGCTGCCCCCAGCCCACAGGCCCCAGGCCAGCTAAGGTAGGTACCAGCAGGGGCCCCCTGATTGCACCATCAATCGCCCCACAAATAGGCCCTGATTGCTGGCCAGGCCTAGGGACCCTACCTGTGCATGAATTTTGTTGACTAATTTCAGTACACAAGTGAAAATAAAAGGGTAGGAAAGATAGGTCAATAAAGAAGGCATGAGTAATGGTAGGGAGTCATAAAACTCCAAGGTCTATTCAGGCAATGGGAGTAGTATGTTGAGTCTGAGTGTAAGTTGAAGGAGAAGAAAGAGTAGGACTTGAAGGTAGATCGAAGTTACAAACAAGTACACTCTAGCTTAACATAAGAAAATTTCTAATAAGGAGTCTTGTGCAAAACAACTTTGATTGTCCCAAGAGTATTCCACAAGTGAAGAAGTCATGGCCCTAAAGTTTGGTCCTTGTTATGAAACTCTGATTGGCTTATTTTTCAGTCCTTTCTCAGAGGGACTTCTTCCTCTAAAATCCTGAAAAAGTTTATGCTGCAGTTCTCTGAAATAGTTTCATGGGATTGAAAAATCTGCTCCTACCATGCAATGTGGCTGCTACTATTTTTGTATGTCACCAGGGACCAGGGAGCTGTGTTGTTTGTCTTAAATTTCCACTTTGATTCCATTCATTTTATGTCCTGTGAAACATGTCAGCATGGAGGCAAGAGACTGGCATGCAGTTTGATTTCAGAGATCCATTGGCATTTATTTCAATTTTGGAAGAGAAATACCCATAACTTTCTAAGAGAAATAAGGAGATTCCAGACTATCATCGGCACTCTGTGTTCAGGAAGACAGATACATCAGGTTTTCAAACAAAATTATATTAAAGAAAGAGCGAATTTTAATCATAGGTAATGCACCTGCCAGCAATGCCCATAAGAGCATGGTCGTGCCTTGCTTAAAAGGGTTGTTATTTTACTGAGATTGAGATGTTTAATTTTGACATTGTCATTGATCATTTTTATTTTTCAAATACATCTTCTTTCCCAGAGTGAGATAAAAAGAATTTGGATCTCTGCAGTTTCACATGAAAACATTTACAGGAAATATAAAATTCAGGTAAGAATAATTATAAAATAGTCACATAAGACAGCCAAGAACATTTTCTACATGTTTAAACTATATTTTTCTTCAAAATGTGCTATCTTAAACTAAAGATGATCAAGTTGAGAATAAACCTTAATAATCCACAGTCCATTGCTTAAAGGAAGATCAAGGCTAAATTACAGGCTAGTAATATGATAATGTTTAAAACATAGTCCTAATAATGTGAATTCTATTACATTGTTTTATCTTCCTTGTTCTACTGCTTAGAAGATCTCACAATCATAAAATCTTCCTACCTCTATTTTGATTATTTTATACCTAATATTGACTCTTTATAATTCTTTTGTGAATGAAGGTTAACCTTTTCATAGTTCATATTTTATATGAAAGCAATATAAAGAATATTATTCTACTATATTCTATTACTCTAGATTAGGTTATCCTTGAAATACTAATGTTACCTTCATTAAAACAGCATCAAAAAAATAATATTTGATTTGGTTTAAGAACTTAAATCTCTTCCCTTTCTCCATCTCCTTTTCCTTCTTCTTTCTCTTCTCTTCCTCCTCCTCCTTTTCAAATAAGAATAAAGGATAAGTTCTATTAATCCTGTGACTCTTTGCAGAAAGAAGAGTTATGTGTGAAATGATTTTAGTATGTCTTAAGAGTGCTTCTTAGTCTTTTTTAACAGTTCTCTTTATCAAATTCCAACCAACACATGATGACTGATGCTTGAAACTGCTCTAAAAAGCTTCGTTCTGTTAGTTCCAGAATACAATAAAATCATCTTCATGTATGTTAACCTATATACTTAATTAATTTCCCCATCCCTAATAAAATAAAATTAATATACAATTATTTAAATGGATTTAAAATATATGGTAGAGTGGGGATGAAGACAGAATAATAATATTATTTTGTTTAATCATTTATCCCCTTGATTCAAATTTATATGAATTAATTTTATGTCCTTTTTTGAGGAAGTTGTTGGGAGAAGCAACAAATGAAAGATGCAAATAAGGTAATGAAGACTTTGGAAACTGAAAGATTTTTGTAGACCATAGTTAAAACAAACAAACAAAAAAATAAAGTAAACCTCTTAAAATTGAGGGAGGTTGAAGAGTCAAAGAGAAACTCTGCATACCTACTTTCTAATTTGATTATTACTGTATTATTCATTTTAATTTTAGTAAGGACATTTTGGGGATAACTTGCTGGTTTTTATTGTCCAAACCACTCCTTGGAAGGATAAATGCCACTTAGTTTAAATGTAACAAAAGAAGAAAAGATGTGTAAGATTATCCTTAATTGCCAAAAAACTTAATTGATAATAAGTCTGTTGTTTCACAGAAAAATTTGGAAATCTTCCAGAGTAAGTAAAGGTGTTTTGGTTGCTCAACAGGTCACCCAGATCCAAATAGGTTAATTCGGATGCTTCTAGGAAATCAATACTCTTAATACTACTGAGTTCTAACTATCAGGTTAAGAGTTCAGTAAATCTAATATATTCTTTTACATAGTCAACATTTTTGTTTTTATCATTTCCTTACTGTGAAGCTTCTAATTTTTTTTCTCATGTTTAGAAAAGTTTAAAATGACATGAATACATGAATTTTTTGACAGGATCAAAAAACTTCACAAGATAAAATAATATAAATATAGCCATGGATGGTGTGGTTCAGTTGGTTTGAGCGTTATCCTATAGTACAACAAAAGGTGGCTTGTTCAGGGCGCATATCCAGGTTTCAGGTTTGATCAGGTTGGGGTGTAGGTGGGAGGCAATTGATTGATGTTTCTCTCTCTCTCTCTCTCTCCCTCTCTCTCTCTCTCTCTCTCTCTCTCTCTCCTTTTCTCTTTCTCTCTCTAAGATTATATATATATATATATATATATATATAATCTTCTAAGATTTTATATATATATATATATATAATCTTAAATGTAACAAAAGATATTATATATATATATATATATATATATATATATATATATATTTATATATACTAGAGACCCGGTGCACAAAATTTGTGCATGGGTAGGGTCCCTAGGCTTGGCCAGCGATCAGGGTAGATCTGTGGGGTGACTGGCAGGGTGATCCGGGACCCCGCTTGCACCTGCCTTGGCCTGGTGCTGCCTGCTCACCAGCCCTGCCCTCTGCTGCCACCGCTGGTCAGGGCCTGCAGGCTGGGGGCAGTTCCTGCATTGAGTGTCTGCCCCGGGTGGTCAGTGTGCATCATAGCTACCAGTCGTTCCGCTGTTTAGTCAATTTGCATATTAGGGTTTTATATTGACAGATGTTTTATATATAAAGATATCACTCATATTTTACTTTTGCACTTAAATAAAAATAAATTTGTTCCAGAAATTGAAGGCTGATTTCATTTTCAAAGAAGTATCTAAATAAGACAATTTCTCGTTAGTAAATTACTTGCAATTGTAAGAGCTCTTTTTGGTAGAAACTTCATATTATCTTAGATTGTACTTTTAGCTTCCCTTTCCTTCATTTATTTTATTATGACAGAAAAATAAATATTAAGTGATAAATTAAATTTAAGGCAGTGCCTTTTCTTTGTATAAGTTTATCAAACTATAATATTTTGAAATCACAAATGCCATCTCACAAACCATCTCATATGACGAGATAGAGAGATATAAAGCAGTATCAGACTATGTTGTGTTGAAATCAACACGACTTAAATACGAAATGTTTCTCCTTGAGTCCAATTCCTTTTCTTTTTTTAACATATTTTATTGATTTTTTACAGAGAAGAAGAGAGAGAGATAGAGAGTTAGAAACATCGATGAGAGAGAAAAATCGATCAGCTGCTTCCTGCACACCTCCCACTAGGAATGTGCCCACAACCAAGGTATATGCCCTTGACCAGAATCGAACCCGGGACCCGCTCCATCCACTGAGCCAAACTGGTTAGGGCGAGTCCAATTCCTTTTTAACTAGTTGTGCTGCGTTATGCAAGTCAAAACATGTCTCATTTACCTTGTTCATGTGCAGAAACTTAATGGAGATAATGGATATGAAAGTATTCTGTAAACTATAAAGTATTTTTTTAACATGAAGCATTGTGATCATAGAGCAAGAGTGGAAACTTTGTTGCCTTTCTCTATACCTTTGAGCAGAAACTTGGCATGGGTGACAAGAGAGGAGACAACCACTCAGAAGTGACTGACTTCATTCTTGTAGGCATCAGGGTCCAACCAGAGTTCCACAGTCTTCTTTTCCTACTATTCCTCATTGTTTATGGGATGGTCCTCCTGGGAAACCTCAGCATCATTGGCATCATTGTGACTGATCCCCGGCTCAACACACCAATGTATTTCTTCCTAGGCAACCTTTCTGTCATCGATCTCTCCTACTGCACTGTTATTGTACCCAAAGCCATGGTCAACATCCTAGCTCAGAAAAAGACCATATCCTTTGCAGGTTGTGTGGCTCAGCTGTTTCTTTATGCACTTTTCATGGTAACGGAGGCATTTGTCCTGGCAGCCATGGCCTATGACCGTTTTATTGCCATCTGCAATCCACTTCTCTATACTGTCCGCATGTCAAGAAGCCTCTGTATACAGTTGGTGGCTGGTTCCTATCTCTGTGGCTGGGTCAGTTCCATCCTTCAAATTTGCGTGACATTCTCAATGTCTTTCTGTGCCTCCCGAGTCATTGATCACTTCTACTGTGATTCAAACCCAATTGAGAAGATCTCCTGTTCTAATACCTTTATGAATAAGATGGTGTCACTTAGTTTAGCTGTCATCATTATTTTGCCCACAATAGTTGTTATTGTAGTGTCTTACATGTATATTGTAAGTACTGTCTTGAAGATCCGCTCCAGCGAAGGGAGGAAGAAAGCCTTCTCAACTTGCAGCTCTCACCTGGGGGTTGTAAGTTTGCTCTACGGGACTGTCTCCTTTGTCTATCTCACACCTCCAAACAATCCCGAACTTCGTAAAGTGGCTTCAGTATGTTATATTTTGTTCACACCTATGCTGAACCCTTTAATCTACTCTCTAAGAAATAAAGATGTTAAAAATGCCGTGCAAAAAGTCCTAGGGAAGAAAAACATTTTACTCTAAATCTCTTTCTGCTCATTAGATTGTTTCTTGCATCATTTGACTTTTTCTTCCAGATCTTTTAGATTTAGGCATTTAAAACTCAGGTTTATTTTGAAAAAATCTTAAATGTTTTATTAAATGGCATTAATAATATCCTATAAAGAATGCTCCAAATGCCTTATTCAGTTTTCCTCAAGGCAACGTTAAATCTGTAAGTTCCAGATACCCATAAAAACCTGCTGCATTTTACAAAGAGTTATATATTTCTCATTAATAATATAATACGTAAATGGGGAAGTATAGAATTTTGGTGTTTCTCTTTTCTGTATGCCTAAGTAAAATTTAGATTGAGAAAATGCTATGTATAATTATCAACTTGGAAATTGTGTGGCCCAACTGGTTCATATGCAAATGACACTCAATATAAATGCTAATGTTGTGTTTTGTTTTTGATGTCCTGCCAAAGATGTGAAAGTTTGTGTATATCACGAAGAGGAAATAGAAAGGTAAAATGACCAGTGATCTTTTTTTAAATCCTCAACTGAGGATATGTTTACCAACGAGAGAGAGAGAGAGAGAGAGAGAGAGAGAGAGAGAGAGACATTGATGTGAGAGAAACATTGATTGATTGTCTCTCATAGATGCTCTGACCGGGTTCCCACAACTAGGTATGTGCCTTGACCAGGGATCAAACCTGGTTTTGGTGTACAGGATGATGCTCTAATCAACCGAGACACCTAGCAATTGATCTGTTTTTAATTAAAGGAATGAAAGAAGAAGAAATGGGAAAATAGCATTGATTTTACTTAATTTGTGACATTTTGTTTGGTTTTCTTTTAATGCAATGGTCATCTCTTTGTTCTCATACAATGAAAACATCTTATGATATTTATGATGTTTTACAGCTCACGTCCTCTATTTTTTGGGGAATACAAAATTTTGATAGTGAATGCAATTTGAAAGGACTATATTGAAATGAAGTCAGCTTGAAAATCTCAGTTAACAATACACAAGGCATTACAATAACCTTTGTGGTTGGTTGGATTATACGTAAATGTATGTTTTTGTGTGCATGCATGTGTGTGTCTATGTGTGCATATATCAGGATTAGTTTGGAATGGGGTAGTTTAAAAATGTGATTAGTTCTAAATATCAGACATCAGTTGAGAAGGGAAGGGTGGTTAAGGGAACATCCCACAGATTTGACATGTATCAAAGGAAGGCAAGTTCTAGAGCAGCGGTTCTCAACCTGTGGGTCGCGACTCCTTTGGGGGTCAAACGACCCTTTCACAGGGGTCGCCTAAGACCATCGGAAAACATATATAATTACATATTGTTTTTGTGATTAATAACTATGCTTTAATTATGTTCAATTTGTAACAATGAAAATACATCCTGCATATCAGATACTTACATTACAATTCATAACTGTAGCAAAATTACAGTTATGAAATAGCAACAAAAATAATTTTATGGTTGGGGGTCACCACAACATGAGGAACTGTATTAAAGGGTCGTGGCATTAGGAAGGTTGAGAACCACTGTTCTAGAGGAAGTCATGCCAGAGTTACCATTTTTACAATTGACATTAAGTAATGGTTAAGCTAAACAATGACAATGTCTACGTCTAGACAATATTAGACATTAGACAAACACTGTATACTTGGCATTGTGAAAATCTAAATTATGGATCCTGGATTAGGTCTTCTTGTTCTCTTTTGTTTAGATACCTAAGCCTCCTTTGATGAGTGCACAATGATGTGCGTCCTGGTGAGTTAATGTTTATTAGGGTTAGAGATCTGAGAAATAATTATTCTTAAGAGAGACAAGCTAAGTGATTTACTATTTCTCCCTTTCTCCCTAGACATGTGTGAATCTACCATTTTTCTTGGTGCTCAGATACTACCATTTTTCTTGACATTCAAAAAAATGTCATTTGGGAGCAAAATAGGAATCCAAATCAGCTCATAAACGGACCTTTGGCATTGACTATTATAAGTCTGGAAAATGCCCTTTTTAGGATTAGGTTTTACTTATTTACTTATTTAGAATGCCACTCTTTGATATGTCTAACAGGTGTGGGTTAGTAAGAAAGGCAATAAGCTATTGAATACAAATACAGCCTAGATTCATTCGCTTTAGATTTAGTTTAGTGGATTATATTTTCTGTTTTGTAGCCATAACATATTCCAGTATTCCAGTATATAACCTCACAAGTGGCATTGTTTAAAACACTCCAAATATTGGAAGGAATCCAGGAAAGTTGAAAACCAAGAGAGAATGCTTTCAAAGGTGTTAAATTAAGCTCGTTCTAATTTTATTTTAATTGCCATAAACATTTTCCTTGGTAATTTTTTTCTGGGTTCACAGGAATTATGAAAAGTAGTGCCTGCTTTATATCTTTCTTCTTATTTGTGCCACGAGGATTCCATCAGAACAACCCAATGTCTTACCAACCTTTTGTTGGCTTTCATTGACAGTGTTTTCTTTTTCAATGATGTGTAGATTGTTTATGAAACACTGCCACCTCCAAGAAAGTTTGAGGACTATATTCTGCATCACATACATAATAAATTGTTATTCTGAGGGGACTTTAAAATTGTACACAAAAATCCACATGGAGAAGTCTTTTCATAGTGATATGATCTTGAAAGGCTGAAGTTTCCATTAGGTATCTCAAACACTTTAAATTTTTTGCACTGTATCATCTTATAATCCCTGGTTCCATGTTTGTAGACAACACACATATATTGATTGTTCTGAAACATCATGTGCTGCATTTTGTCTTTAAATTTTATGTACTAATATTTACCGAATGCTTAGTGTATTAATGCAGAACTTTGGTGAGGGCATTTATAATAATATTTTCTATTGTCAAGATGCTAAGATTCTCTCACTCAGATAGTTGCAAGTGATAATTAAGCATTGATTTCAAACTTCACAAATATAAGTTAAAATTACTAAATTAAGCATTCGTAGACAAGCACCCAGAGCTTTCTCCATTTGTCTTTCTTTAGGATAGTTTCAGCTCCTTATTATGAGATTTAAATTGGTAATTGGAGTAACTGAACTGATTAAATATTGTAAAAATGTAATGTTGAATTGATAAGATTTTAGTTATTCTTACTGTTGTGCGTTGTGCATGAGATGTCACTTTGTCCAATCCCATGATACCAATATATGTCATAACATCAATAAAAATTTTGAGTGCATGTAAACTGTTATCCTAGTGCTCTCAGTGGGGACAGAGCTACTTACTGTTGTGGGCTGGGGAGGGAGGGGAAGAACAGGAAAGAGATGAGGTAAGAAAAAAGTAAGGTATCTGGAACTGAAAACAACATGGAAAAGGAATCCATTTCAAAATCATTCTAATTTTGTAAAAACAAAAACAAAAACTTTAGCCAAAGAATGGTTTTAATATTTCTTAGTTTAAAAGATATGGATTCTTCTTTCCTTATCCACATTTAAAAATCATCCGTTTATTTACATTTGTTTGCACCGTTATGATTGGTATCCGTTTCCTCAACTGAATGTCTATATTTAGGTTTCTGTTATGGCAACCTACCTACTTAAAGTGACTTTTAACTTAAGCAATAGATAAAATAATTATAACACACACACACACACACACACACACACACACACACACACACACACACACATCTCTTCTAGACTAATAAAGGGGTAATATGCTAATTAGACTGGGAGACCTTCCAGACAACCTTCTGGACAAAGCCATAGTGGCGGGGCCAAGGCAGAGGTGGTTAGGGGTGATCAGGCCAGTGGGGGCGCAGTTGGGGACGTCAGGCCGGCAGGCAGAGTGGTTAAGGGCGATCAGGCAGGCAGGCAGGTGAGCAGTTAGGAGCCAGTATTCCTAGATTGCAAGAGGGATGTCCGACTGCTGGTTTAGTGCGATTGGGCCTAAACTGGAAGTTGGACATCCCCTGAGGGGTCCCAGATTGGAGAGGGGTGCAGGCCGGGCTGAGGGACACCCCCCCCCCCATGCACAAATTTTGTGCACTGGGCCACTATCTATAATAATAAACATGTAATATGCTAATTAGACCAGACAGCTGAACAACCTTCCAGACGTCATTCTGGACTTCTTTCTGGACAAAGCTGCTGTGGCGGGGCTGAGGCAGAGTGGTTAGGGGCGATCAGGCAGGCAGAGGTGGTTAGGAGTAATCAGGCAGGCAGGCGAGTAGTTAGGGGTGATCAGGCAGGCAGGCAAGCAGTTAGGGGCAATCAGGCAGCCAGGTGAGCAGTTAGGGGCATCAGGCAAGCAGGTATAGGGGTTAGGGGCAATCAGGCAGACACGCAAGTGCTTAGGGGCATTGGGCAGGCAGGTAGAGGGGTTAAGGGCAATCAGGCAGGCAGGCGAGCAGTTAGGGGCATCAAGCAGGCAGGCGAGTGGTTAGGGGCGATCAGGCAGGCAGGCAAGTACTTAGGGGTGATCAGGAAGGTAGGCTAGTGGTTGGGGCAATCAGGCAGGCAGGCGAGCATCAGATTATGTGATTTTCTGTTTCTGTGTGTCTTCTTTTTTCTTTTATTTCCCAATCCTCTTTTGAATTTGTTATATTTATTTATTTATTTATTTAAATCTTTATTGTTGAAAGTATTACACATGTCCCCCTTTCCCTCCCCCCCATTGATCCCTTCTAGCCCACCCCCACCAGGCCTTCACTGACCTATTATCTGTGTCCATGGGTTATGCAGATATGCATACAAGTTCTCTGGTGAATCTCTTCCCACCCACCCATTGCCTTTTCTCTGAGATTCAACAGTCTGTTCCATGTTTCTGTGTCTCTGGATCTATTTTGGTCATTAGCTTATTTTGTTCATTAGATATTTTTTGAAAGATTATTTTCAGTATTTTTCCCCCTAGAAACTTCAACAGGCTTATTTAACTTATCAAGGTCCAGTTACTAAATATTTAACACTTTCCTAAACAATACAAGGGCCTTAGGAGTCTTTAATGCCTTGATTTTTCTTATTTTTTTCCATTTATTTTAGTTTTATCT